ATATCCTATAGAAGTCCAACTCCTTCCACTCGGCACGTCCATTGGACGTCCATAAGATATACATCGGATATCACTGGATATTCTCTGGATATCCCAAATATCCTAAATGGACGTCCAATGGATGTCCATCGAATGTCCGTGTGTTGACTGGGGAATGTCATAATTCTCATTATTCATGAAATCATTTAGCATATCGAAGCCACTGGACAATGATCTGATATTCAGAAGGAGATAACTTAATTGTTTATTTACATTTTCACCCATTAAAATCAGCTGATAATGTAAAGAAAATTTAAACAGGGATAATAATTAATCTACGAACCTATGAGTTAATGTGAAAAAGATTGACTTCAGAAATCAGATGTACCAATTGAATGTGTATGCATATAATGTGTATTTAAGCTGGAAGATTGATCTAGTCTGATGTACTTTTCTGAGACGATGATGCACTGTTAGAACGGGTTTTCCTATCAATAATATTAGTATTGGAGAAATGCTTTCTTGACTTCTTAGGTTCCGGTATAATAGTTGTGTTCAGAAGATCAGCACTGGTGACTAGTAATTCCTCAGAAAGAGGATTAACCTCCCGCTTTGATGGTGTTGATGGGGCACTAATGTTCCTTCCTCTCTTCTTTGTTTCATTGGGTTCCTCAGTTTCTGAAAGGTCTTGATTCTCAGCTTTTCTCTTTTCCAATTCTTCTGCTGTGTAGGTATCGCCGTTGATGACCAGTTTGTAATTTTTTATTCTCGCAGATAGATTTTTAGATTTCGCTTCCTTCATGTGTTTGACTAATATTTTATTAATCAACCGATCTTCGTAGCACAAGTCTTGGAAAATTGAGATTTTTGCACCTTTTAATTTGTGTACGTTTTGAAAAACTGAGTTTTTAGTTAGATAAAAATTCAACTTTTATAGCTGGCTTTTCGTTGATTTTGATCTGATAAATATTGAACAGATCTCTCAAACATAAATCAATTCCCAGCAGCGAATTCAAATTGGAAATGGTAGTAGTAGCCAAGTTTTCTTTAGCATCAATAAAAATGACCAAGTATTATAATGTTTGATATTCTATCTTTCCGATCATTATTTTTGAATTCCTTCTCATATTTTGCGCACTTTTCTTCAAGTCCTACAATTTTTTCATTTTGTAACTTGATAACTTCCAGCAATTTTATCATTTTCAATCCCGATATATTCTTTGATTTCACGCTTAGTTACTTCATTTCCATTATTTATGGCTCCCAGTAATTTTGAATACAAATCATTGTTGCTTAGTTGAGTTTCGCTCATTCTCGACCCGACGAGTGGTGGAATAAATCTTTAACCTTCCGTTTTACGGTTGATATACGAATTTTATCAGTTGTTTGGATGTTTTTCAAACTAAACATGTAACGAAAAGACTGATTGTGGTGACTTACAGGTTGAATTCTTCTTCACAGAGTTCTGAAGGGGTTACACTTGCACTAGAATGTTGATTCGCAATTTAATTTTTTATTTTTACCACTTTTAAATGTTTGTTTTGTTCCAGAGTGAAATAAGGATGCACTCCGCAAGCACCAGCGGTTAATCTGTCAAAAGATCAAGCTATATTATAAATTATTTCTTTCAACCTTATAATTCATCAAAACACTACATATTCATGCTTCATGACTTTATTCATCTTAACTATAGTTTTCTCAAACACATTTCAATGTAATACCTGTAATATTAATTATATAGTCAACAGAATGTCTTTCCAGAAAGTTCACCAAGTCATTTTAGTGAATTATCTTGAACATTTCAATGTCTTGTTAAAGTTTGCTGTATTGACCAACAATTCATTGAAAAACAGATCAACCTTGTTCATCAATAATTCTTCTTGAATTTTCAATTTAGAAATTTTGACTATCATCACAGTTCATCAAAGTATCTATAGATATCATAATCACAGGAAATACTTATTAATAATTACAAACATTCCCTATCATAATGAGTACCTACCTATCATTCATACACAAAATATTTATCACTAGTTTCAAAAGTTGATATTAACTAAATATAACAAAGTAATTCAGATTTTTTTTTAAACAATACTCATCAGTCTTATCACAGGGAAAATTTTTATCAACAATTTGATTATGAATCAACATATGAATCCACTGTTTATTGATGTTTCATGAAAAGTTCGTGAAAATTGACCAACCAAAAGTGTTGGCACAAAGAAAAATGTCTTACAACTAAAATGTAACCCTCTTAATAGATTAAACCCCTTAAGGATTTGTAATATTCAATTATATGAGATAGATGTTAGGATAGTGATTCATTGGGATGTATGATATTATAATGATGACTCAGTGACAGGGTATAGGTTTGATAGAGTAGACTATTGCTGGGTGATTGATTAAAGTTGGATGTAATAAAGAATTGTTAGAAGAAGTTGTTTGAGTGTGAAATACCATTAAACAATATAATAAATTTCAATCTTGTTCATTTGTGTTTTAGAAAAAACTGAGTATTTCTTCTTCTGTGTTCCCAAATATCTACTACTTATCATGATTTATTATTTAGGTGAGTTGTGAGTTAGAAAAAAGTCCACTCATGGGCAATAAAAACAAGCAAACCAGTTTTGTTCAAAATTCAAGAACAGGCATATCTAAATAGCAATTTTGCAAATGTAATCTTATCATTATTTACTCTGAAATGGTGAGTCATGATTTTCTATCTACTGGAGTCATTGAAAGTTCCAAAATTAGCAGTTTGAATTCACCATTTTCTCCAGGCTGAAAATAAAAAAAAATTAAGCCAATCCTGTCAATTCGAAATGTGGTGATTTTTTTGCACAATATAGAGGTTCGGACGCATGAGGAACAATATGAAGTTAGTTTTTATGCCAAAAAATTCCTAATATGATTTCATAAAAATCAAGATATTGAGGGATATAGAGGAAGGGGCTTTCAAAGTAAGATATGCTGTATATATTTGGTTCCTACTCATCAAAGATTTGTCTATATTGCATAACAACTCTATTACTATATATCTTCATCAATCAAGAACTTAATATATTCAGTCCAATTGAACAATTGGGGGACAAATGTTGATATTTGCACAGCAAATTTTAATGATTTTGTGGAGAGTTGCATCATCACCACATTATAAGTGAAATTGGCAAGTTATCAGCTAATATCCTGTACTTCTGTTTCATTGCACCAATAATTTACTCCACATGATTTCTCACATTGGCAAGAGCTCTAGTTCCAACAATCTCAGTAGGATGTAATTGTTTCTTTCCTTTTGTAAAAGCTTGAATCTTCACTTGGGCATTCAAAATTTGTACATAGTCACCTAAAATCAAATCACCTACAAATTGAATTTGTATTGAAAAGTTGGATAGATACTGTTCAGATGAGTTCAGGAAGATTGTTAGAACAGTAAACATACATGAATAGATTGAAAGTCAAGACAAGTGGAACATTTTCAACAGTGCATGCTAGTTGATGAAATTAGTTTTTCCATACATATAAAAGATTTCTAGCTTCCAGTCAATAAAACTAAATTAAAAAGTTTAATCTCCTTCAGTAATTCTGGAATTAATATAGATTGGTAGGTATCAATTATATTCAATTGATCTTGTACAGAAACTCACCTGGAATAATATTATCTAATAATTTCAAATTGATTGTTATGGGATAATCAAATGCTCTTCCTCCACAAGCCTCACTGATCAAACACACTGTTCCTTGTGGGGTGATTCCAATCAAATTATAATCAGATCAGCACTAGCCTGACAGCTGTGATATTTGTTTGTGAATATTTATCACATTCAGGAACTATACTAAGGTTCTCATCTTGACAATCTGATGATCCTACAGTCTGTTCATAAGATGGCCCTGCAGCCTGTTTGAAATCAGATGGTCCTGCAGCCTCAGCTTGGCATTCTGATGTTTCCACATCATTGATAGTTTCCTTAGATTGGTTGTCAGAAGCTAAGCTATCATAACCCAAAAATAAACTGGGAGGGAGCCCAGTTAGGATTATTAACATCTGATAGATATGCAGGTTTCCCTAAAATTTCCGTTATACCTATTATATTTACTACTATTAACAACCTGTTTCAGTGAACTCACCAAGTAGGTAGGAAATGTTTGCTGCAAACTCTCAACATTTTGAGTTTCAGCTATATCAAACCATTTCTATTTATCCACTTGTCTCTTCTTTTGATAATTCATTGTTCCAATTGATGTCTAAATTTCAAGACACTCAGGATTTGAAGAAACTTCATGCTATCATGATATAACCCACTCTTACAATTGATTTTTCCACAATAAAACATTGTTATAACACAAACACCAAGCAAAACCTATCCAAATAGTGTCCAGAATACACCACAGGAATACACATCAAATATTCAATAATTTTACTAAAGATGATGCAATCCTAATAAAACTAAGTATATTAAGTTCAATTATCAACTAAAGAAGCCAAGAAAGCAGCATTTAACACATTTTAAATTCAATTGGAAATATGGTGAAAAAAGTCATGGAATGACAGCAATTTGTTTGGGTACAGCAACCATTTTGAATTTGATGTTGACAGCATTCCCAAATACCTAATAGGAGGGACCTCTGAAGGGACCGGGAATACCAGTATCAACTATCAAGCTATCAAGTAGGTATTTCAAAAATTTTGTGGCCACCATATTTAAAGAGTTATTTTTTCCTAGTTTTCCCCTTATGAAAATATTAGCATTCTTTTCATACCTAAGGTATTTTCTCCTTGAGGTAAAAACTTCAGAGACCATACAGGAATGGTCAGTTCATAGACATTATTTATATTGAATTTATATTTAAATTCAACTTATCTTAAGAGTTCAAGCATTCCTTTCACTAAGATGCGTTCATAGAATCTCATTTAAGTAACTTATATTCAATTTAGTTCATTCCTTATGGGAAATAGAGCTGTTAAATTAAATAAGGTAAATATAAATGAGATTCTATGAACAGACCAGAACTGTATCACTCACTCCAGTAATCAGTAATTATTATGCACTGATATAGTTTGCCAGTGAGCCTGTTTCCACTTTGCCACATACATCAAAATTTTCACTTCACTTGAACATAGACTATATATACTTTTTTCTTTATCAATGTTTTTGAAAGCAAGACCAAAACGCAAAACCACTAGGCAAAACACAATTACTGTCAATTACACAAGACACTGACAGACACAAGAGTCAAGGTCAAGACTAGACTCAAGAGTCCCTTCCCAACCACGGTCCCAGCTGACATTTACGTGAAGTGGGCTGCCAAAACTGGCTGCTAGAATTTCCGAACTTTCCCGATTGTCCAGTGGCACCCTTTTTGGGTACGGTCCCTTGATGGAAATTGACGTTAAAGTCATGTTAAGATGACTTTAACGTCAATTTCCATCAAGGGACCCTACTTTTGGGGATGGAATATCGAAATTCGTCACTTGATTTTGTTTGAAATCAATAAGGTTTTACAATGATGCGATGATTATATGAAGTTTTGTGTGAAGTTGAACTCTGCGATGTTGATAATAACAAAAAACAAAATCAATCAGCGGGAATAAGACAAGAGTCCGGACACAGCTATAAATACTGCTGTCCTTTTCTGTTCTCGAAAAATGCATTGATGATTGAATAAAGGAATAAGACATATATATCTAGCTCTGTCTTCTCAATTCCCCTAGTATCAATGATTGTCAGAAACAATTTTGAGGGTTAGATTATTTGTCAAACCGTTCATAGTCGTAGGTAGAAGTGAGAAATGGGGCTAAATTGAATAGAATAACTATTATATTTTCAAATAATGAACAACAGGGTGTTCAATATACCTATATGCCTTATGAACATTGATTTTAATATTTATCAACCATTAGGTACAATGAGATGTCAAAGATCCAATTGATAAACTATAATATACACCTATTAACTATACTTACAATATTACACTCATGGTACATATACTATATATAGTAGATATATAATGGAAATCATAATTGCAAGAATCTTAAGATCAGTATCTAGGTACCTATACCATCTTGGATTCCTCCGATGGTGACAAGGTTCCTATGCGTACAGCAGTAATCATAACAATTCCCAGATAACACAGGATATCCTATGGATATCCTTCTCAAGTCCATTTCAGGTCGGGATATCCTGGGACATGAAAATGATATCCATAGGATATCCGTCAGAGGATATCAAATGGATATTCTGATGCGGATCACCTATGGACGTCCATAAGATGTTCGTCTAGCGAACAAAAATTGTTAATTGAGAATGTTCAAAACAATACGAATCATCACAAATATCACATGCAAATCACATGTTTATTAGAAATTCAAAGGTAGTTTTCCATCATATAACTATTGTTATATAGGTATAATATGTTTATAGCCACAATTAAGATATCCGATGCAAGTATGAATTCAAATAAACAACAACACCACAGTTTGGAATTTTTCTCTGTTGTTCAATGTTTTCGTACGAAAATATACAATCACTCGAAAATAGCTCTCATATATTTACTTTTTTGTGGTCTTCATATGGACATCCATGAGATATTCATCCATGGATTTATAGCGGATATCCATCAGAAGATATCTTATGGATAGCCATAAGATATCCAAAGAAAACATAAAATCATATTTATGTCAAAATAACTTTTGTTCTTCAACATTTTCGCACAAAAATATGATTTTTCAGAAATAACTTGTATCTCCATTTTTTTCCTTGGGATTGAGATGGAGATCCATAAGAAGATATATTCGCATCCCTGAATTCAAAACTGGGTAGGTATTTTCCCAATGGATAGTAATAAAATATTCTGAAGCAATAAAATATAAATCAATATGGCATTCGCGTGAATGACAAATTTCCCAAAAGAAAGATGGAAAAATCTAAGAGAATCTAATTCTTGAATTCACCTTAACAGCATTTCGGAAAATAGCTTCATTGTTGCGCTAGGGATAACGCGATTCAAATCCGGCCACCTCGCCTCCTCTATTTATCTCTCAAAAGATTGAATTCAATTCGAATTAACCTCCATGGCTAGAATCGTTCTGATTGGTCTAAAAATGCATCCATGTCGAAAGTCATGGTAAATTGAATTCTTTCATGAGGTATGAGCACACCCCAAGAATCTGAAGCAAATAGTATTCTTTAATTTCCTTAAAGTATTTATTTTTCTTAGTAACCCGTTTTAATTTGTAGTTATTTGCAAATTCAATAAGAATATTTATTATTTTATACTTTTTTGCATGTTTACTTCTTTTTTATATATTCATATTTTAATTTAGTTAGTTTTATATTCACATCATAACAGTATTCCTTTATTTCCTTTGTTTAATTCTCTTATAGTGACCTGTTTTATTTTTTGTTATTTGCAAATTCAATTAGAATATTTATTATTTTATACTTTGTTGAATGTATACTTGTTTTTTTATATATAAAAAATTTTATTTAGTTTGATTTATATTCACATTATAAGATTTGTTATTCGGTTCGCAACAATTGAATAAATTTTATTTTTTTACATACTCCTTTACCTGGTGATTTTTCAAGGTGGTTAACTCCTATAACTTTTTCATTATTGTAGGTAGTAAAACGTCAATTGCGGGGTCATGAATTATAGTTCATTTTATATTATTCGACATATCTACTTGCTTTACCGCACTTTTGGTTTAACCGAGGATGGCTTTTTCAAACGGGACACCCTGTATTTTATTCCATAATCGGTTAAGGATTATCATAACGAATTTAACGATACTGTGTTTGATAGGATTTCTACAAACGATTAGGAAGATATTCACATTTCCATACCCTCAATGAGCATATGAAAACTTCGAATGAAAATATCTTCGTAATCGTTTGAAATAACCCTATCCAATCCGGTACCGTTGAATTCGTTATAATAGTTCCTAATTCATTATGGAATAATATACATGGTGTTCTATATTGTTAAGGATATTTAGTAATAAATATCCCTGAAAAATATCTCATGGATATTTGTGAACAATATCTTATGGATATCCCTGAAAAATGTCTTATGGATATTTGTGAACAATATCTTATGGATATCCCTGAAAAATGTCTTATGGATGTCCCTGAAGGATATCCTATAGAAGTCCAACTCCTTCCACTCGGCACGTCCATTGGACGTCCATAAGATATCCCTGCCAAAAATACCTTATGAAGTCTCATGAAGAAATATAGATAAAATATGAGTATTAATAAGGATATATAACCGAGTTCTGTAGCGTATGAGTACATTATCTCTGGCACATGAACTTTCTAAAAGGTTTAATGATATTTCATGAGTATATGTGATTTATAAGCGTATACAAATATGGAGTATGAGAGTTTTTATCAGGCACAAGTGGTTTGAGGAGCCTATGACCACCAATGAGATATTCCACTTCCAATTGGAAAAGTATTCTATGCACATTCATGCGCCTTAGTATATATGAGAAATGTGTAGGAATTTACAAATAGAATTCTATTGGGTATCGTCAGGAAAAAAATATATCAGATTTTAGAGTTTCACTAAGGAATTCCTTATCTAATTTAATGCGATTTCTATTAGCATTCATGTGACTCAGAATAACTGAGAATTTACGAGTTTCAATTAGACAATGAATGCCTAATCCGAAATGTGTTCAATGAGTGTTTATAAGACAACTAGTTTCTAGGTTTATGAGCTCAAATATGAAAACACGGTTCTGAAATTATAGGTTTCTTATCAGCTTGAATCCGGTAAATAATTATTGAGTAATCATAAGTTTTTAAAAGACAATATAGATATAATCTTTAACGTATTTCATGGGTTTTTGTGAGGGTGAAAAGTGTTCGATAAATTATGATATTCAATAGGGAACTGCTGCCATCATTCTATCGGTTGCTGATGAGCTTGTATGTGGTATATGTGGTTTCAAGTATTCGAGATTTCTTATAAGCAATTACTGATCTATAATTAAACGTATCTTATTAGTCAAGCTGAGGTAAGATGTGTTCCAGAATTCATGAGTGTTGATAAGGATTTACCGTTATAACTGTATTCGTATGTTATGATGTTTCATGCGTTATTTCTGTCTAAGAATTCTGGACAATACATGCCTAATCTGAATGGTATCTAATAAGTTTGTATGAGATGTGTTAGTTCTGAGGATTTTTGGGGTTTGAAAAGACATTACTGATTTGGAACGGAATGTATCCTATGGGTCATGCTGAGGCTTGATTTGTATCAAAACTGATGGGTGTTGATAAGGGTATACCATTATGACTCCAATGGTATTTTGAGAGGTTTTATGCGGGATTGCTGTATAAGGATTCAAGATTTTAGATTAGACAATACATGTCTGATTCGAAATGTATCTGATTATTTTTTATGAGATATGTATCTCATGAGGAAATGTTTGTTTAAGGATTCATGAGAGTTGATAGGGATATACCGTTATGACTGTATCCATACGTTGAAATGAATGATGCGTTATTGGGACTCACGAGTTTTGATAAGACAATACATGTCTAATCTGTATGGTAACTAATTAGTTTGTATGAGATGTGTATGTTCTGAAGATTTTTGTAGTTTGAAAAGACAATACTGATTTGAAATGAAACGAATCCTATGGGTCAAGCTGGGGCTGTATGTGTTCCAGAATTCATGAGTGTTGATAAGGATATACAGTTATGACTTCAATGGTATGTTGACAATACATGCCTAATCTAAATGGTATCTAATGAGTTTGAATGAGATGTGTATGTTTTCGAGGTTTGTGAAGACAATGCTGAAGCTAAGGATATAATGTGTTATAGACTTCTTGAGGGTTGATGAGGATATATAGTTATGACTTCTAGTATATCGAGAGGCTTTTTCGCAGAGTTTTTTCATGATGATTCACGAGTTTGGATCAGACAGTTCATGTCCAATATAAAATGTTTCCTATAAGTTTGTGTGAGTTTTCAATAGTACAATATTTTCAAGTTCAAAATATATATTATTAGATCTTATGAGGATTAATGACAATGATTGACAGTTGTTATATGATGAAAATAATAAAATAAGAGGTTTTATGCGGAATCTGTTTACTAGTTTCAATCAGACAATGCATGCTCAATCCAAAATGTATCAAATGAGTTTGTATGAGAAAATCAGTTCAAAGATTTGTAATTTCTAATGAGAACACGCACGGTTCTAATATTATAAGGTAACCAGCAGTTTTTATGAGAAATATAATTTTTGATAGCTCATAACTTCTATTCTGCAAGACACCATTGCGTAGGTACAATTTTTGTGTTCATATAATATATCAG